CTGCAAGCTTTAAATTAAACAAGATATATGCATTAAATGCAACTATTGTTTCATTTCCTGAACTAACATGTATGTTTAAAACTGTAGGGAAACTAGACCTAACACTTTTGAAACACAGGTCAAAAGAAGTCTAACTTTTTCTGCACAATGGGATCTTTCCATAGAATCAAAGCCATAGCAGGTGAGAGTAGTATGAAACAGTGGGGCGTATACTATTTTCCCTAGTGTCAACATTATCTGTTAGTATCTGGAACAGCAATTGCTGTTTACACAGGTGCATCTGTTAACACTCCATTAATATAAGACAATTACAACACTTAGTACTCCATTGACATTGCAAATAGAGAGAAGTGAAATTCACTGACAAAATCCTCTTCCAAATACACATTGACTTTGGTAGAGAAAAGTATTAGTATTTGGTAGAGAAACGTATAATTGCAATGTTATGCACAAGGAAGTAAACTCCACTGAACTAAGTACTCATTTTTGTGTAAATATGTGAATGACTGTATTATATAGCCCTGGGAGGAAATGATCCAATGGTCTTCATGCTTAATACCCATAAATGCCTGAACATTAAAATGCCATCTGTGGAATGCGCTCCCCAGAGAGGTCCGCCTGGCACCGTCGTTATTTGTTTTTCGGCGCCAGGCCAAGACCTTTTTATTCAACAGTATTTTAATAATCTTTAATATTTATAGTTTTAATTATGCAGCCAGTGTTTCTCCAAGTTTTAATTCTAATTGTAATTCTATTTGTTTTATTTATTTGTTGTTGTGAGCCGTCCCGAGGCTATGTAGCAATGGGGACAGCATATAAAAACTTTAAATAAATAAACATTAAGTCTCATGTACATCCAATGGACAATGCCAGGCAGGGCTGCCCCACACCCCATGCCTTGCAATTCGTCTAGAATACAGTTTGCAGCCTTCTTGATGAAGCAAATTTCAAGGAGGCATGATGTAGTAGTTCTGAATTTGCCTCCTGATATATGTTGGGAAACAAATTCTGCCAAATACATCCTCTCCAAGAAATTCCTAATGCGTGTTGCTGATAACGTCCTCCTACAGGAAGTGGAGGAAGGAACAAAAGAAACAGCTATCCTTGACTTGATTCTAACCAACAGGGAAGTCCTAATGGACAATGTTATGGGAAATCTGGGGGAAACTAACCATGCCACACTTGAATTCTTGATTCTAAAAGAAGGAAAAGCCAAGTGTAGCCAAACGCATACCCTGGATTTTAGGAAAGCCGATTTTAATAAACTCAGAACAATGGTAAGTAAAGTCCCATGGCAAATGATTCTTGCCATGTAAGAATCAGGTCCTGTTGGTAGGCGGTTTGGGCTTTGGGGTAGGGGACCTGGACCTTGTCCTGAATGGGGTTGCACTCCCTCTTAGGGACAGGGTTCACAGCTTAGGAGTGCTCCTCAATCCAGAGCTGTCATTAGAAGCTCAGGTGACAGCGATGGTGAGGAGCGCTTTCCTTCAGCTTTGGCTGATCCATCAGCTGTGTCCCTACCTGGAGAATGACTGCCTGGCGACAGTGACACATGCTTTGGTAACTTCCTGATTAGACTTCTGTAACGTGTTCTACATGGGGCTGCCCTTGAAGACAGTCCGGATACTTCAGTTGGTGCAAAATAGAGCTGCCAGGTTGCTGACGGGGACTGGGTGTTGTTCTCATATAACCCCAGTCCTCCGTCAGCTTCACTGGCTCCCCATTGAACTCCGGGCCCAATTCAAGGTGTTGGTTATGACCTATAAAGCCCTTAATGGCTTGGGACCTGATTATCCAAAGGAGCGCTTGTGTCCATATATGCCCTCCCTCCCCTTGAGATCAGCGGTAGAGGCCCTTCTCCGGGAACCCTCCGTGAAAGATATTAGGAGGGTGAGTACCAGGAGGAGGGCCTTCTCTGTGGTGGTACCCCACTTATGCACTCCCCAGAGAGGTCCACCTGCCACCGTCGTTATTTGTTTTTTGGCGCCAGGCCAAGACCTTTTTATTTAAACGTTATTTTAATTGTTAAATTTATTATTATTATTATAACATTTCTATGCCGCCCCTTGCCGAAGCCTCGGGGCGGCTTACAACACAATAAAATACATTGAAATACAATAGAACATAATAAATTACCACTAAATACAAAAATACAAAAAATACACTGAGATACAAACATAATAATATAAAATTAACAGTATAAAATAAGTAAATAAAGAATATAGGAGGAGAAAAGAGAAGGAAGAAGAAGTTGCCCTGGCCAGATCATATATTTTAACAATTAAAATGATGTTTAAATAAAAAGGTCTTTACCTGGCGCCGAAAAACCAATAACGACGGTGCCAGGCGGACCTCTTTGGGGAGTGAATTCCATAGGTTGGGCGCCACCGCAGAGAAAGCCCTCCTCCGGGTACTTACTCTCCTAATTTCTTTCATGGAGGGTTCCCGGAGAAGGGACTCTCCCGCAGATCTCAAGGGGTGGTCGGGCATATACGGACGTAAGCGCTCGTTCAGGTAGCCAGGACCCAAGCCGTTTAGGGCTTGATAGGTCATAACCAACACCTTGAATTGGGCCTGGGCTTCAATGGGAAGCCAGTGAAGCTGACGGAGGACTGGAGTCATGTGAGCATAACGCCCCGTCCCCGTCAGCAACCTGGCAGCTCTATTTTGCACCAATTGAAGTGTTCGGACCGTCTTCAGGGGAAGCCCCATGTAAAGCGCGTTACAGAAGTCTAGGCGGGAAGTCACCAGCGCGTGTGTCACCATCGCCAGGCAGTCGTACTCCAGGTAGGGGCGCAGCTGATTAATCAGCCGAAGCTGAAGGAAGGCGCTCCTCGCCACTGCTGTCACCTGAGCTTCCAAAGAAAGCTCCGGGTCGAGGAGTACTCCTAAGCTGCGGACCTTGTCCCTAAGAGGAAGTGTTGCACCATTCAGGACCAGGTCAAATCCACCCTCTCCGAAGCCCGATCCGCCAACCAACAGGACCTCCGTCTTGTCTGGATTGAGTTTCAGTTTATTGGCCCTCATCCATTCCATTACCTCGGCCAAGCACTGGTTCAGTACAGCCACTGCCTCACCTGGATTAGTGGAAAACGAGAGGTAGAGCTGGGTATCATCAGCGTATTGATGATTCCGCAGCCGACACCTCCTGATGACCTCTCCCAGCGGTTTCATATAGATGTTAAATAGCAGAGGGGATAGAATGGAGCCCTGTGGTACTCCATGGCATAGCTGCCATGGCTCAGAGACATAGTCCCCCAGCACTACCTTCCGGGATGTCTCCAGATTTTATGTATTTGTAGAGTTATTTATTTGTATTGGAAGCCACCCCGAGGCTTTTGCAAATGGGGCAGCATATAAGTGTTCCAAATAAATAAATAATTCTAATGAGGAAAGATGGGTGGGAATTTAAAAAGGAAATTCTAAAGGCACAATTGCAAACAATTCCCAGAAGGAAAAGGGGTAGAAGACAACAAAAGAAGCCTGTGTGGCTTCCCAAAAAAGCTTAGAGATGATCTGAAAACAATAAAGGGCATGTATAGGAAGTGGTAGGAAGGCCAGGCTACAAAGGAGGAATACAGGCTGGCAGCACAGAATTGCAGGGATGGCATCAGGAAGGCTAAAGCTAGGAATGAATTGAGGCCAGCAAGGGATGCCATACATAACAAAAATACCTTCTTCAGATACATCCATAGTAACAGACAGGGAAAAAATGGGGGTTCATATACTCTATGTGGATGGCAAAATGATAACAGATGACAAAGGAAAGGCAGAAGTACTCAATTCCTACTTTGGTTCAGTCTTCTTCCAAGAGGATCTACAACCTTCCTAATGAAGGGGAAGTACAAGCTGAAGGAGTGGGATGGCAGCTCAAGATTGATAAATTATCAATGATCATTTAAATTGAGTTGAATGTGTTCACATCTACAGAGCCTGATGAACTCCATCTTAGAGTTGGAGCTGGTAGAAGAATTTTCAGAAACATTATTATTTGAGAAATCAAGGAGAATGGGAAATGCCAGATGACTGGAGAAGGGTTAATGTTGCCCATCTTCAGGAAAGGAAAGAAAGAACCTGGGAACTACAGTCTGACATCAATTCCTGAAAAAATTCTGGAGCAAATTAAAAGCAGTACACCTGCAGATACCTTGGTAACAATGCAATGATTACTAGAAGCCAGTATAGATTTGTCAAGGAAAAATCTGCCAGACTACTCTCATTTTGTTTGGTCTCAACCTCCCTGTTGGCCTGTGGGAATGTTGTGGACATAATTTATCTCAACATCAGCAAAGCTTTTGACGAAGTTCTCCATGACATCCTGATTAGCAAACTTGCTAACAGTGGGCTAGATGGAATAACTATCAGGTAGATCCACAGTTGGATACAGAATTGTATTCAAAGAGTGCTCATCGATGGTATCTTCTCCAACAGAGGAGAGGTAGCAAGTGGGATACTGCAGGGTTCAACCCTGCACCCTTCAACATTTTTATTAATACTTTGGATGAGAAAGTGTAGGGAGCAGTCATCATATTTGCAGATGACACTAAATGAGTGGGGCAGCTAATACCTTGGAACACTTGCACAGGCGCGTAACACATTACTTTTCACGCATTTGTTGTCTTTCCGGCAGAAGGGAAAGCAACAGAGGAATCCGGAGTATCGTGTAGATGCGACGTGGCAACACTCATCCCGCAGCCGCAAAGAGCTCATTACGCATCCCCCATGAGCTGCACTGCCTCCTTCGCTACGGGGAGGAGAGGAAAAAACCCAAAGGAGGCTCCTAAGGGAACCGGGAAGCTCCGCCCGTCGGCATAAGCCGCTTCATTTCCACGGTCTCCGGGTTAGCCTGTCTGACCGAAACATTCGCGTCACCGGAGGGACTCCTCTCTGATTGGCTTTCCGGATCTATGAGGCGCTCCTTTGCTTTCCGTTCTATGTTTGAGTGATATTACCTTGGCCTATTGAAATAAGGGACGTGTACGACGTAAGGGCGGGATGTCCGGCGGCGTTTTCCCTCCGTTCACCCGCCCGTCGGCCCGCAGCTGAGCTGTGCCTAAGGACGGTCGGTGGGCAGCGGCGTCCGTCCTGTCCGCGTGCAGGCCATGGCGTGGGCTGCGTCATCGGTGCCCACCGATAAATCTCGGTAATGGGGGTGGGTGGCAAGTGGCCCCTTGAGCCTGGAGGGAGGCGGCTGCCCCGGTGCCCCCGCTCGGGCTCCTCCTGGGGCGCTTCCCGGCAGTTCTCTGCGGGGTCCACTGTGTGTACCGTATGCCCGTTAACGGAAGCGCGCTTGCAGGGAGAAACGGAGATGGCGGGAATGTCCCGCGCCTGCCCTTTTGTCACGAGAGCACGACAGAGTCTCCGGCTTGACACGGGCGCTTTTGGCTGATTTCCTTGGGCGACTCTGAAAGCTCTCGCTGACTTGTAATTGGCTGGTTTATTTGATGATGTTGCTGCTGTTCGTCATCTTTTTCAGTGGCTTTTTAATGCCTCTTTCCTTCTGTTATTATGCCAGTAAGGAACCTATGGCTGCAACCTGCTTTAAGTAATTTAGAACGCAATGCTATGTACACTTAAGTAGAAAAAACCCCAATCTACAGTTCTAAGTTGTCCTAAGACAGAATGTTGGGTGTTGCCTTTTTTTCTGTCTGAATATGTGTAGGATTGTGCTGTAACTCACATAAGGTTTCATAGATAGTTTAACTATAAACTTAAGTAGATTTGCTGACTTGCATTTCAACATGGTGTGGAAGTATGCATCCTCTTGGAATAGTTATTTTCAGCCTTTTTAGATCTGGGACCCTAGCCCAATTTACCCCCTAGTAGTGCCTTCCACAATCTAGTGGCCTCTAGATGTCTTAGACTTCAGCTGCTGTCGATCTTAGTCAGCATGATCAAAGTTCTGAAATACTAGTGGCTGTAGAGCAAAACATCTGGAGGACACCAGGTTGGGAACAGCAGCAGTAGTTGATTTTAGTCCAGCAGCTGAATGCTCATGTCCTAAAGGTCTACTTAATGTATGATAGAAAAGAGACTACCCCTCTTACAAGAATGATTCATACTGGAAGTTTGGGTCTATGTATTAAACATAATATAAGCAGGCTGAACAGCAAAATGTTCTGCTGTGGATGTTCCTGGTTAGGGTGTCTGGTAGCCATGTTTTTTTTTTTTTTTTGCAGGCTGCTCTGTTTCACATTGTCCTTCTGGCAACGGGTTTTTGGTGGTACTTCTAAATAGACACTGACCAGGCTTGCATTATCACAAGACATAAACTTTGCATAATTGCCCTTGTTGCGATGGTTAACGAAATTCCCAAATCCCATTGGTTGCTGTAGCAGGGGCTTGTTAACCACTGGCAAAAGTAATTATGCAAATTCTCCTGGCATGTGCAGTGAATAAACTAAACCACTATTGCTTGTTTCCTCTTGGTAATTGTGTTAACAGGGTGTGCAGTTACCAATGATCATGCTCAGTCCTCATTGGGCTGTTCTGTTTTTCCACCTTAGGAAATCAGTCAGTCAGTGAAAAACTAAAGGATGGGTTGGGAATGTGTTACTCTTGAGATGTTGCCAAGTGATAACTCTCATATCTTTCTTTTCTGAGAAGAGACTATAGTTAGGAATTATTGTCCAGGCTGGCTAGGGCTGATACCAATTGGACACATTTCCCAGCCAAGTCCTAAAGATTTGCAAACTCTAGGGTTCTTCTGAATCTGCTGATAAGTTTCTCTTGTGTGCAGCTGGTACTTTTGGCAATGTAAGAATTGGTGCTTAGAGCACTGAGTTCACCATCAGGCAGATAACATTATTGTGCTTAATTAACCAGAGGTACATTTTTAGTTGATAATTTTTTAAAATCCAGGAAATGAATTGATTAAACTGGGACATGTTACAGCTCACTCCACCGATAACACTTAAGCCTTTAGTTTCATAAAGTCACAATCCAGATATAAGTTTAGATGGTGCGTGGGAGCTATAAATTGCAGTAGGCTGCCTGTAGTATTATGCTCTAATCTCACTAAGGGAAAGGCTTCTTTGTAAAGTTGTGTATGCTGTTGTCTCTCAACCATCAACTGTTTGAGTTGATTTAAGCTTAAGTTTGTTTAAGCTTAGCTTTGGGGTATAGATACTAAATACTGTTCTGTATATACTGTGGTACCTCTCAATTTGTTTGATTTTCTCTTGGTTTAGGTTCATCTGTATATATCCAGCCTACATAAATAATAAGAAGACAATAGCAGAAGGAAGAAGAATACCACTTGAGAAAGTAATTTTGGGTGAGGGGGGACAAAGAACTGCTTATCAGATAAAAATAAATTAGACTGAATTATAAAAAAAATGACTGCGATTTATTTTTAATTTCTCAGAGCCTTGTTTTAGAAGAATGCATTTCTTGCTGTCAGTAAGCTTGTCCTTTTACTAGATCTTTCTCATCAGCTCAAAATACTGGTTTTTAGTATGATATTCATGTCTTATGCAGTGTTGTTCAGATTGCCCAGCTACTACTGTATTTATTAGAATGCTAATTGAACAGTTCAATCAGCATTTTTATAAGATCCTATGTGCAAGAATAAAGAGTCAATAAAAACTGTTAGCTATACCTGATAGTTAACTGTAAACCTTTAGCTACACCCCCATGTATTTTTTGTATTAGGAGAAAAAGCCAAAACATGGATTTTAGTTTGGTGTTGCCATAAATTGTGCTCTCCTGCATTATGTTAGATGTAAAAGCTTTTAATGTTGTTTTAAAGGTTGCTACATTTTGCTGACAGGTTCTACACACTTCCCCGTTTAATAGTTGAATTTTTATTCATTGTAAGTCAGTTGCTCCTCAGTAAGTTTGAGAAGAAAATTAAAACATTCCCAAAAGTGGTCAAGACCCACATAATTTTGTTGAACTATGTATGAGCCTTCTAACTGTGTTGAACAGTCTGATTTCAATCAGTCCATGTATGGTAGTTTCAATATACATAAAGTTTAATTTAAAATCCTGACTTTCCTAGGCAGTTGAAAATCCCACATCTACAGAAATCCAGGATGTTTGTGCAGCAGTTGGACTTAATGTACTTTTGGAGGTAACATGAGAATAATGTTCCCAATGCCTTTGTCCATACAATTGTAATCTGATTAGAGAAGGAAAATGTGAGAATATGGCCTAAGTGTTTGTGCCTATAAACTGCAGTAAACCCTTCTCCTTCCGGATGTTTTAGATCACCTCCCATCAACTCCATCCAGAATGTTAAATCATATTTTGAGATTTGATACTGTTCTGTGATGACTATATATTACTATAAAATTGTCACATGCAAATATGGATACTAAGATAGATGCCATGCCTGCCTTTGGACTATAGAAACCAAATGAGACTCTAGAGGAGCCTTCCCCAACTAGATGTCCTCTGGACTTCAATTCATCTGCTCCAGCCCACATGGCTAATGGTCAGGAATTGTAGAAGTTGTCCAAAACATCTAGAGGGTACCAGGTTAAGGAATGCTATTCTGGTGCATGCACAGAATACATTTTTATAGTTCTAACTGCACTGAAACTGGTCATAATTTCACAAAGTTTGTACTAGATACCTTCAGCAATCTGATTTTCAATCAGAATATAGGAATAATGGCCTACCTTAATAGTTTTTGTAAGGATTGCTCAGGTAATATATGTTAAGCACATCATTAAAAGCATCCTTAGGTATTGCTTGCTGTGAAAGCATAGACTATTTTAACAAAACTAACAGCTCACCCCTTAGCTTCTTTACTCTGAAGAAAGTTATACTGAGTTTAATGGGTTATACTCTGTAGTGAGTTTAGGAGTGCCCTATTTTTGTATTTTGAACTCTACTTGTTTGTAAAATCTGAAACATTTTTTCAAATGCCAGAAAAACAAAATGTATCCCAGGGAGTGGAACCGTGATGCTCAGTACAGAGGTAGAGTGCGTATTCAGCTCAAGCAGGAAGATGGAAATCCATGTCAACCACAGTTTCCAACACGTGAGTGTGGGATTAAATATCCAAAATATTTAGATAATGAGAAGTGTATGCATACATATGTACACACTAAAACTGAGTCCTATTAGGGGAGGGGAGCTTTCTACAAAGCCTTTTCCTCACATTGAGCACCCCCCCCTCGCTTCTCTCGGGACCTGTTGTTGCTGCTATATCTTTCAAACTTAAACTCAACGTGGGGCTCACAAGTCTTTTTTAATCTTTCTCTACAAATGCTCATCCCCTTGATAATATTTAAATATAATAGCAAGTGTTAAGTCTAAAGCAAACTGGTATAAAATAAGGGGTGTTCACCTTAGGGCCATTGGCTAAATGGCTCCCCTGGGATGCCAATCAGGCCCTTTGGGGTATCCCAGAAGATCATTCCCTTTCCCCAGTGACATGGTAGTTTCTTGGCTTTTGCTGCTTTTTCCCATTTTAAAAAGTTGAAATTCCTTTCCTGGGGCTTAGTTAATGGCAGTAAGAGCTTTGAGCTAAAATAATGTGCTGCATTTTGTATTTTGGCCCTATTTTGCTTTTGGCTGCATTCCCAAATTCATTTGAGCCTTGGGCTGAAAGCATTTCCCCAGCTCTGTATGAAATAAACAAAAGTGATGTCTTATTGTAGGATATTAGAATACTACAGTGCTGTTCGTAATTATTTCAAGTAATCTTTGCATTAAAGAATAGAAGCAAAAAATGTACTTACATGGTGAATGATCAGTTATTTATGATGTATTACTGTATAGCATGTCCTCCTCCAGTCCTAAGTTGGTTTGTATAGCAAATATTTAAGGTGACTAACCATCAAAATTGTGCAAAACAGCTCCAACAAAATACATGAGTGCATGCAAGAATTATTTAATGGCAAGGCATAATAATTTAGCCTGAAAGCTGATTGCCAGTTTTGGCCCTTTTGTACTTGATGATTTGGTACCGGTTCTAGAGTAAATGGAAGCAATGTTGTGGATGCTCTCTTTCTCATGCCTTTTCCCCTTTCTCTCTCTCCCTTGCTTTACCTCCCATTTTTCTTTTTTAAGGTAAGGCAGTGATGCTGTATGCAGCAGAAACAATCCCCAAACTGAAAACAAGGACACAGAAAATGGGAGGCAGTGACCAAAGTCTACAGCAAGGGGAGGGAGGCAAAAAAGGCAAAGGAAAGAAGAAGAAATGAACATGAGTGGCACAAATACTATACATTAAAATGAACGTGAATGCGGGGAAATAAAGAATTGGGATGTGAACACTGGACAAATGAGAAAGGTCAAAACTCTTTATGTTAAGACTCTGAACAAGAATGGATTTAACATGCAGCTAATTACAGCTGATCCATTTGTGATCATACCTAGAAAAGTTACTTTAGAACTCAGAATAAATGGAAAAGAACATCTTGGGTTTTTTAAAAAGCTGATTGCCTTAGATTTAGTTCAGATTTGGAAGGATTACAGTAGGGTGGTTTAATTCAATATTCTGTGGAGCTTCTAAATTGATTTCTCTTTGTTAAAGTAAAAAAACCTGTCTAATATTTGAATTAAATAGTTTACAAAGGACAACTTTCTGTCTAAAATAACTGGTAAGTTGAACTTTGCAGCTGGGTAATCTGTAGACATCTCATGGTTGATGGAGGTTATAACATTGTATCTAAGTATGTACATATCTGCAAATAACAAATATGATCATAGAAGAGTTGGAAGGGGCCTGTAAGGCTATCAAGTCCAACTCCATGCTCAATGCAGTGAAGCTACAGTTGATGAAAGTATCACATTCAGTCATTGCCAGCAATTTACCATATGTGTGAAACATCTGTTGTCATGAAGGGGAAATTAAAATCGTCCTAATGATCCTTGTTCTACTTGTTTGATGGTTTAGCACAGGGATTAGGCAACTTGTGTTCCCTCAGATATTTTGGGTAACACCTTGCATCATCCTTCACCATTGGGCTATGCTATTCATTGTTCATAAGAGTTGCAAGGCAAAATACCTGGGAAAAGTGACCCATTCCTGGTTAATATCCTTCTGCTAGCAGATACATTGACAGGACTGTACAAACATGTTGACCTTTCAGATAATAGTAAGTGGTCAGTCAAACTGATCAGGTATCTATCATGAATGGAATAGAAGCAGAGGAGTTATGATAAGGGGCAATAAGTCATTCTGTGTGCTGTTTTCCTCTTCTAAACCATTCCTAGTTCCTTTCCCTAACACAAATATACATAGAATGCCAAAAATGTATTCATACAGTTTTTTCTTTTCTTAAAATGTATATACGAGTCATGTTTGACTTCTGCAATTACCAGAGGTGCTCAGAGTGGTTACCATCAGTGTCCAGAAACTTCTGAGTACAGCGAACTATTACTTGAGCAGTGTTGTCCACTTGTATCCCTGTGCATACTGTTTCAGTTTTTTCCCAAAGTACCGCCAGTGTAACTGGTTTTCTACAGTGTACCACATCCTTTAAGGTCTCCCATAGGTAAAAGTCAAGGGGTGTTAAGTCAGGAGAATTTCAAATACCGGTTCAGAGTGGGCTTGCATTCCTTGAACAACAGCCATGCTTCTGCCATTTTCTTTGCCGTGCCTGTTGCATGGTGATGCTGGCATTCATTGGATTAATGCCATCTTTTGAGTGAATGTCGTACTACACATTATTACTGTAACTCAATTCAGCTTCAAAAAGTAATACATAGATAACATCTCTTAAAATGTGCCTACATTTTTTGGCACCCCGGTAGAGTTTTTATACAGCACAGCTGCTCTTCTGCTTCTGGTCTCCATACTATGTGTGTACCATTAGCCTATTAATCGTCAAACAACTTCAGAGAGTTAGACTTGCATCTTATTTCCTGCATAAGCATACCATGTTGCTATTTTGACTCCTTAGGTCAAGCGGTGACCTAAAGGTGGGTCCTAGTTAAAAACTAATGATTTGGCTCTAAGCATCAAGTTCTTGACTTTGTTTGCTTAGCAAGCCATTTTGCTTTCTTTCAGTTGGCAACATTGACAGAGTAACTTACCATTACCAGACGGAAAGCAAAACTTGCTGTCCAGCATTATATGCCTTGTTTCTCGTAAATATTTTCTAATATTTGCTTTCTATTCCAAGCATGTCTGCAAGCAGTTCATGCAATTTTCCTGATGTTAGTGCAGTTTCCAGCATGTGTAAGGTGGTGGTAGGGACATTATATATTAAATTCTTTCCACATTTATTATGGTCATAGACCAGCATAAATAATTTTCCATAAACATTTCATATAGAAAACTAAAATGTCTAGTAAAATTATGTGCAGTTGAATCTATATACATATAAAATGTGTCCTCATATCATCAAGAACTGCATGCTTTGCATCTGGCTTTACAACTCCTCTCTTAAGTAGGCTTCATAATTCTGATTTAAACTTGCTACTCCGGGCTGGGTCTTAGTGCTGCCACCAAGCCTCAATCAACTGTCTCCAGGCAGGGAGAGTGAAATTAAACCAAAGTGGCAGCATTAACTAGGGATTTTTTTTCACATAAAAGGTAGCATAAGAATTTGCGGTAGAGCAAGATATTGTCATTGCTTTGTATATTAGTCCTGGATGAGATAATTATTGGATGAGTAACAATGAGGATGAAATGGTGTTTACGTAAACAGAAATTCTGAGAAATTTCTAGAACATTTAAATACGTCTGTGTAAGCTGACTGGAGTACCTTGAACTACAGCTGCCTTCAAAGCATATCTAGTACCTCAGAATTACTGCAATCATGAAAACAATACATTAGAACTGCATTTACTTAATTGGGTTTCATTTATATTGGGTCTCACGTTATCTATTCTCTAATCAAAGCAGTTAAAATCAAGAAGTCACTGAGAGTATCTCTAAACTGAAGCAGAAGGTGGGGTATTAAAGTTAAAAATGCACAAAGCAATGTTACGGCATGGGAACCACAGTAACCAATCACTGTTATGTGTAATTCTTGCCATTGATATATTTGTGATGAGACAAGTTAGAAGTTGAAGGTAATTTCTGCTTTTCTGTTTTTGGAAGAAATGGAAGGAATGACCTGATCTACCACATTGCTCCAACATGACCCAAGCTCAGCCTTTCACCAAAATCAGAATGGGAGGCCTATATGTGTATTGCTAGGTCTTGGATTAGTGTGGATAATGAATCCCATGAAGTGGTTGCATTAGTTGAATTTGCACTATTCAAAGTGATATGTAAAATATGGTAAATAGTTTCAACTCAGTGGAAATAAGCAATGAACATCTTAAAAATAAGTTTCTATGTTTCCTAACGAAAAGACCACTCTGTTTCTTTCATTGTAACAATTCTATTCCTTGTAGTTGTTTGCAAACCTCAAGAGTTGATGCAATGTTACCTTTTTCTTTTATTTCCCCTGCGTGTTTTATACTATTCTTGCACTTTAGATTCAAGCATTCCAACTTTGCATCCTATTTTTGAGTTGCTATGACCATGTTTGTCATTCAATCACATCAAATTTTTGCTCTTATGTAATGATGAGTCTCTTCTTCTTCTTTTTGCATTCATGGTGTTTTTATCTTAAAGGAATCCTCCTTTTGTCTCTTAAAAGCATTTCTAAAATGATTAAAATGAATCATGAAAACTAACATTAATTATGGCAGGCAGCAGCACATGCACACACAAAGATAAAGTGCAGATTTGAAGTAGCACCATTGAAAACCCCAAAGGTAATCCAATAACCTTAACTGTGCACGGACTAGTTTTGCATTAACTGAATTTTGTTTCATATTAAGCACAACCTGCTATCATACAATGTGCACTAAACCAATTATCACATTATTTGATCCTGCGTTAATTGCAACCTAGCTATATTTGGACTAAGACTTCTTCAATTGAGTATGTAGGGTGATGTTTTGGTGTCAATTTAGATCATAATACAATTTCTAGTTTAGTTTGTATCAGCATGTGTGGTGTACCTATTAGGGAACGGACTTTGTGTAGAAGTTATATATGATCAGGTTCTTGAAAATGCGTTGCTCTCCTAAGAACTAGGTTTCCTTTGGCACTTTCCTGCAAGGATCCAAGATGGTATACCGTACTTTTTGCTCTGTAAGACTCACTTTTCCCCCCTCAAAAGGGGAAATATCTGTGCGTCTTATAGAGCGAATGTGTGTGTGCAATAAGTCTGTCAGATGTGCAGCCCATGGGGAAGTGATGGGGAATGTGCCTGTGATTATGTGTCCATTTGATTCCGAATATTTTTTTCTTGTTTTCCTCCTCTAAAAACTAGGTGCGTCTTATGGTCAGGCGCGTCTGTCACAAATTTTTCGTCTTATAGAGCGAAAAATACGGTATTTACTGTGAGCAGATGATGACTTTGACTAGAAAGTACTGTTAGCCTTCCCCCATTCCACTCCTTCCGAATGTAGAGCCCTAGAATGAAGTTTTAGCCAGGTGAAGTTTTTCAGGATAGAAAGTAATTATTTCATTCATCTCTTATTCTGCTATCCAGGTTTTCCCACATTCAATGCGAACATTGCTGTGAAGAAGTCTAAACATCACATTAGTGTAAGGTACCTTTTTATTTGTATATATTCTTCTTAAGTACATTACATCTTCTGCACAAACTACCTAAGGTGTATTAACTTTTTTGAACACTTGCAAAGAAAAAACCCTTTACATATTTTAATCAAGTCCAGTGCAGTTATTTGTAAGTGCTGTAAGACTAGTTATTTCATAATGTCACCAAATTGAAGTTGTACTGTCAATATACACAACTGTAGACAATCTTTCAAAGCACAGATAAACCAGCTCTGAGAAAGGCAGCAGTGCGTTACAATTACACTTGCATGCACATAAAGTTTTGTACCTTGCAATATTAGTCTAACCTCATGCTATTAAGCATTTTTATCACATACAGATCTACCCAATACCCCACACTGTGGCAACATTTAATAAGTAATGCTTACACATGATTTACTCAAAGCATATAAAAATGCAATAGAAAGAAAAGGCCACAGCATGCAAGGCTTTTTAGCTAAAATGTTAACGTTTATTTCAGACTGTTTTTAACTGCTGCCATTTCTAACAGAAGTGAATGCTAGACTACCTTGTTTTCTAGTTAAGCTTATATTGTCACTTCCATGGTGGTTTAAGGCTGGCACAGTTTTTCAAACCAGGAATATTTCTAAGGCTGGACATAATAGAAGCGAATAGCTACATGGTGAAATTTTACTCTGAAGCCATCACTGCCAGCACTCCATTGATGGGTTCTCCACCTGAACAGAAGGAGCATCTGTAATATAAAGCAAGCCATCTGTGGATGCCAGGTTTTTTGCACTGCTTAAGGATACAAGGACAAACGTTACCTCTCCCATTTCCCCTTTGCTTACAGTAGAATCATTTTCAAACTTTATGTACATAGTTTTTTTGTGAGAGTTTGCCCTTTTATTTCCACTATATTACTATAATATTAAATGAAGGAACCAATTTTCTCCCTTCCCCCTGCAACTTTTGATGTTCTGACTGATAAGCATCTTCTGTTAATTCTCTTCTGCCATCAAGATTTGGTCAATATGGAGAATACTGCAATTGCATTGGGGAATTAAGTGCTACAAGATAGGGTTCTGTGTATTACTTTGGATAGCTTTATAAAAAGTCTGGCTAAAAATGTAGGGGACAGCCACAGCCTTTAGTTTTGAGAAAGCTATAGGTAGAACAGTATCTCCTATTACCAATCGTTGGTGCCACAGATCAGAATCTGCTTATCTCCATCATGCTTACACACTCCCAAGGGCAACTGGCTAACTGGTGGCTGCAAATAAGTCCTGGCCTAGATGGTGCTATGGTAGGAACCAGTGTGTCAGTTCTTACTATCCATTTAACAGAGAGCAGGGCTTCAGAGAGGTCATTCTGCCTTTGCTGGTAAAGTAGATTTTAAAGGACCATTTTACTTCAAGTTAATCCTAGCAATAAGCTTTAGCCAGCCCCATAGATCTGAATAGAGACAACAAAAAGTCCACCAGCTCTTTAAAAAATAACAAATTTGTTTTAAAGATCCCACAAGACTTTCCATAGACTAAAATGCAGAGAAGTATTTAATAAGTGGTATATTGAGGGTAAAATTCAATTTTGGAGAAACTCTAAGGGACTGCATTTCAAGAATACCAAAATGCCAGCATATTTAATTTCAATCCATTACTACCAGTAAGCCTTGCTTTTCAAATTTTTAGCACTGCATACTATTTCCAAAGAACCAGGAACCACTAAATGCTCAAGGAAAAGGGGTGCTGCTGATTGGGACCACAGCCAAGCCAAATTTGGTTCAATGCTCCTTGCATGCAGGGATGCCTCCTGCTAAGACTGATAAAGCGGCTTTTAAAAATAAAAGGTTGGCAACAGTAGTTGTTAATGAACATTTTAAAAATACCAGCATTTGTCACTGAGCAACACCCCTATCCTCTCTGCTTTCCTTCATAAGACACATCTTCCCTTATTGGCATTTTCCTACCATTTAATTCAAAAATAAAGCAAAGGCTTTCTAAAAGCTTTAAATAACAGATAAGGGCCAAGGAATGCCTGACAGTTACTGTATGTATTCATTCAATCTGCCAGTGAAAATTGTAGTGCCATTTGTCATCAAGCTGCAGCACAGACCACCTATGTGCAGCAATATCTAAATACTAACAGCTCCAATGGAGAGCAGAGTACAGACTTTGCAAAGTGAAACAGGATGTGGTTTATGAGCAACATTCTCTTATCCCAACTTTATTATTTATTGTTTGGTAACATCCTGTGCTGGTAAATAGCTACTCTGCATGTAGACACATCACCAATGTGCTGTTTTTAACATTTAAGGACCCCTCCCAGAAATAAACTTACTGGCCCAAACACTGCCTGTTACAAGCAGTCTCTGCAACAATAGGAAACATTCGTGGTCAGCACCATAATCTGATGACACCGTTTACAACATGGCTGGTGGTGTGGAAGGGGATACATATTAACATACGGCTTGCCAGTCATTCTCTCCTTTAAATGCACAAATACACTAGTGTGAACATCACTGTCATGACGTTTAGGTATCACACTCCACAGCAAGAGCCGGTCAAGATACGAAACAGAACTGTAACAAAGACATGCATGCACAAAGAAACAAAGTATACATGGACAGAGCCTGGGGCATATTTTATTTGAAGTTTACATTAACTGCAAGTCAAGGCATTACTGAAAATCCATTCTTTGTTCAGGAGATTCATAAACTAATCTGGATAAGCTTTAGATGCCATCCTCTGCACTGGTTTCAAATAAAAATGCTTACTTCCAGCTTTACTGCCAAAAAGCAAGCACTCTTACAACACATTCCTTTAATAAAATCAAAAACATGTTTACAAGGTGACATTATTCAAATCACAGTCCACAGTAACATCAAGCTGTGTAAGGTAACTTATCTTCCAGTTAACTCTTTTAGGTGCTCTTCTTCTCCTCACCCAGCAAATTTATTGTTGCTTTTTTAGCTGAAAGAAAAAAAAATACTGTTGTCATTACATTACTGAAAAAAGGAGATGCCTGTTGATATGAAGAGATGAAACAGCATGTCAAATTTGTAAAACCCAAAAATGGGTGTGGGGCTGGGGCTAGAATAGCATAAACATTCATAGGCATTACACTGGTAAGCAGCTATCTAAAATTATTTGAGCTAAGTGTGGTAAGTACATCAATACTCTCATGTCTGATGCCTGTACCCAATGCTCAAAATTCTGTATAAATGAAATAAATTCACACAGAACGTCATTATTGGCTAGTTCATATGGCAATAGGTGCTCACTGGAAAGAGGAACAAGAAAAGGCCTATTTGGGTATTCTATAGAGGGTGGGGGCAAGTGTGGGGACAGGGATGGGGCCTCACATGCTGGGCTTCCCCCTCCGACTCTGCTGAACCTCATTGCCTCATTTCCTGATCGCGCTGCAACAGAGGTGGGGTCTGAATGCAGCCTACTCACATTCAACTGTAAGTAGCAGTTCTGTTCAGACCGTGCTGTGCGGTCTCCACGTTAGTCCTAACACATTCTATGGAATGTCTGAATGGGGCTCAGGTAGGACATGGCCAGTTGTCAAGGATTATGGTACCTATTGCCTAAAACATATGGAGGACACCAGAGCTGTGTATCCCTGGGGTACTGACTTTGTCCTGGAAAAATGAGTAATGGCATTCTTTGTACCTAGGACCAAATTCTGTGCTCACATGGTGTAACCACTGAAACTGCAGGGTACAAAGGGGCCCTCATGAAGCCCACTGCTTAGATCAAAGCAAATGTTACTATCTGTGGACCAGAGGCAGGAGAAAACCCAATTCCATCTTGTATGCATCTGCTCACTAGTGTAACGCAATATATACCAATTTTGTATACCAACAAGAACTGATTTGAGGATTATGGGTAAAATGACCTTAAAGAAAGGAATAAAACAGATTCAACAAATTCATTTCACTAGACCGCTTTTTTTTCCCATACAAAATTATTCATAAAATAGATCAAATTACTTGGGGTGTATGGGGGAATTCCTTGAAGACACTGGCCCCAGGGGCCTCACCTCACCTTCCTTAGTAATGGTGTCTGCTGTCTCTGCAGCCTTATCTTTCAGGTCCTTCATTACGCTATCCAGCTGAGCTTCATGCTTCAGAAAAAGAGGACGGATAATTCGGAAGTAAAGCAGCTCAGCTCCATTTGAGGGACTTGGAGCCATGCACCATAACAGAAAGCCACACTGCACAAAACAATGTAAGGAAGTAACAGGAAATGAGAGATTGCAACCTGGCATCATGATGGTGACATAGAAATTTTTGTAATTCTCATCTCAGAAAAAGTTGGCATAACACTACTGTGTGAGTATGCTAATATTCTGATCTATGAATCAGAGGAGTACCCAAGTTTCAATTACTTCTCTGCCATAAACCCATTCGATCAGTGGTCCTCAACATCCAAGGGTGCCCCCCAAGCTCTCTACAAACATCTGAATTAAGTAAACCTGTACTTAAAAAAAATGGGACTGCCATAAAGCCTATTAATTTTTTTAAACTACTGCAGAAATTCACCACTACCATAGAAAGAGAGGAAGCAAAATAGGAGAGGGACGGCTTCCAAAGCATCACCATAGAGAGAAAGAAATTAAAAGGGTAGAAAGGGAGGCCTCCAAAGTATACTTTTCTGCTGTGTCCATCCAGAGGGAAATCCCTCCAGCATTTCCTTGCTGCAAAGAATTGGTGAGTTTGGGGGAGGTACGAGGTATTCATGGTTTTCCCAGTTTGATGGGGGTCTTGCACCCCTAACTCTATGTATTTGAAGGGCCAAGTATACATGATCCAACTTACATTCAAATCCGACTTAAAGACAAATTTCCATTTTCCCAGGAATGGAACTTGTCCATAACTCTGGGACTGCGTGTAGTAAAAAATTAAGCAATTAAAGTGGCAGCAGAAACAGTGCTGGGCCACAGGCATCCCAACTCTCAACTCTGGCCTCAACGCCTTCTGTATTAATGCAGGAGGATAAAATCTGCAGAAGAGTCACAAATGCATCATTCTTCTGTTTATTGATCAGTCTGATAACTTTGTTACATTCCATCAAATTGTATCAGACTTATGGTGACCCTGTGAATGAAAGCCCTCCAAAATCTATCTATGACATCCCTGATAAGCTGTTTTAAATTTAAGACTGTAGTTTCCTTTACAGAGTCAAATGGTTTTTTCTTCTCCTGCCTTGAAAGTATGATAATTAGAAGACATAATTTAAATGTTAAGAACATTCAGAGTTAAAACCAGTCTTTTCAAATGTAGACAAGAGGCATTGCATATGATAGAGAAGAACAAAACAGAACACCCAGAAAGCTTTAGCTCCAGGGCAAAATAGATGTGTCATGGAATAAAATAAACAGGAAGCATGCAAGATTTTCATGTTTCCAGGGTAACATGTCAAGCTGGCAGTTGCCAATCCACCCTGTGGGGAGATATACAACTTGCTTGCAGATGTGATATAGAAAGACACATCTGCATATTTAATCTCAAATGCCTTATTTGATCTTCACAGCAGAGTGGTTTTAAAACAAAGCATTTCCTAGTCAAAGTAACAAGAGTTGAAAAACAAGCAAATGCGATTAGGAGCCTGTAACAGCAATGAGAACTGTAGATGGACCAAAATACTATTAGGAAGAAAACCAACAAGAGCTACACCTGGAGAAAGAGACCAGCTAAGGCCAGGGCAGTCATTATGAAATGCAGAGTCATTATCTTTGCTAAATATCCTATTGATTCAAGTATAGACAATCTGGTATTCCCTCATTCCTGCTATAATTGCATCTGGCCCCTATCTTAAGTCTATGCACTTCTGTCAGATAGTTGTATTCTTACTTGGGCAGTGGTGGGCAACCTGTGGTCTTTGGCCTAATATCATGTGGCCTTTGGCCCAAAGTTAAACAGCAAGTAATCAGTTTGGACCTCTGGCTGGCGTATTCTGTCACTTCAAGAGAAGAACAGAGAGAATGGGATGCTGGGAAGAGATGCAGACAGAAAGGAAGCTGTGGGGATGTGAAGTAGGTGGCCCTACCTACTTCTGGCTCTGACTCTAACCAGCACTTGCTTCAGCCCCACCCACCACCAGCATGTGGCCCATGATGGATTACCACCAAAGGATAAAGGCTGTGCATCCATGCACTACAGCATGAACAGGGTTTGTACTGTAGTTTTTCCTGGAGGTAAGAAAACTCCAGAAATGGCCAACAGATGTGTTGGCTGGGAAGTTGCAGCCCTAAAGAATTTTGCAGGGCACTGGAATGGGAAACCCTGGTATATACAAAGCATGCATGTGTATACAAGAAAGAGTGAATGCTTGCAAGATTTAAGACTAATATATCTTAAATCTCTTTCTTCTTCTCTTGATCTTTACACAGGCTGACTTCCTAATGTTCACAGCTCTGTACAGATAAAATATGCTATTGAAACTACTGTGAATAATCTAGTGTAACACCTCTTTTAAGTTTTCAAAATGCAGTGGAAAAGGAAAGCTTGTACAAAGCTACTGAAGCCAATGTCTTCTTTTTACTTTTCTAGCTATATATTTACCACCCCTGACTTCCTTCTGAAAAGTCTGAAAAATAGGAATGAAGAAACTACATGGACACATGTAGTTTGCTCTGCTACACTGGCACATGAAATAAATAGTCCATTTAGTAAGCTTTGGTTAGAAAAGCCATCTTCCCATGCAAACCATGTCTTGATGTTCTTCCCCGTAAGCCATCTTGTTCTCCTTTACTTTTCCCAAATTGGACACATTAGTTTAGATGACGCTCACCATACCTATTATGGCTAAAGCAATTGCTGAAGCCAACCCATTCTTGCCCAAATGGACATTTTACATTGTGGCATTCACTTCCAGAGTTTTGACAAGAAAACTAGCTACTTCATTTAGGAAGCCATCTTTCTTCAGATAAATTTTGAAAGATGGAACTTTGGCAACCCCTCTACAATATCTGAGATCCACTAAAATTCCCAAGACAATGTGTTTGGGAGGGAAGGATGTTAGGAGAAGGACAAGCAAACAAACCTTTATCATATAGTAGAAAGGGAACCAGGAGAGAAAGATGTCAGAGAAAAATTCTGCTATGCTGAAGATGCCATACACCACCCAGTAGATCAGCCACTGTGTGTCATCATCTTTGTTAGGGCTTTCAATGGCCTTTATGCTGCAAGAAAAAGATCAGGAAGGTAAGCTATTTGCATTTCAAGTTCATCAAAGCAACAACATTACAATAAGGCACCAGAAATGAGAGATGCATTAACATCAATTCATGTTAGTACACAATATGAATTGACATTTCTCTTTCCTCAATCACACCCACAAATCCCACATCAAAAAAGTTCATTAAGACCAAAGGAAAATTGACTATTCATATACCATCTGGTCCACCTGCACTAGTAGCTCTAACAAGGGGCCTCAAAACTTACACCACCAATTCTTCCCATGATGTGCACCACATGGAATGGTGTGATATAGCTATGCTGGAGCCTCACATCCTAGCAGCTCCAACCAAAAAGGCCAATTGTCAGGCACAACCTGCCTATACAAAATCAGATTTTAAAGTTAGACCTTCTTAAGAACAGTTACTTAGAAGTATGTTCTGGTGGTGTCAAGTAGGACCTACTGGTCAATTGGATCTTTTTAAGAGGAGGAGGAGAGGCTCTGATACAGCAGGACAATTTGGTCCAGCCAGCTATGCTGGCAATGCAACTTGGCAGAGTTTGCATGTATGTTTTGCGTGCATGTTTTTATAGCAGAATTAATCAAGCTACACATTAAAGATTAAATGCCTGCCTAAAAGAAAGGACTTAATATGCTATCTAAATGTATACAATGAAGATGCCAAGGAGATTTCCCTGGGAAGGAAACATTTCTCTCTTGTTGGGGTAGCATTAATCTTGTATTCTTCGAATTAATATTTTTGTTTGGTGGACAGGAAAAAACATGGCTGCTTCTGGTGAGCCCTCAGATCCATGACTGCCCTCTGCCCCACCAGCCATATAGACACCATCCACCTAATGTGTAATCCAAATTTGAAAAACTGGTTACTCTTAACTGAGGGTAGTAAAAATAAGCCAACTTCAATCCATGTTTTACAAAGTTGGCTTGTTTGCATACACCATAGTTAAAACTATAGTTAACCTAATTAACTATAGTTAATTTTAAGGTGTGAATGATACATTTGACATTACCAACAGGTTAGTGTAAGTGGAAACTTCTCAACTCTTTGCAGCTATGCCAGAGGAATGTGGAGCGCATGAGCCGGAAGCTTGCTGCAACACATCTCAGCATTATAATCTAAGGCAGGGGTCTCAAACTCAAGGCCCGCAGGCCAATTGCCGGGCCGGGTGGGGCATGGGGGAGGGGCCCTGCGGCCTTCAAAGCGCTGGCGGCCCCCCGGGCCGGCCGTGGGATGAGTGGCCCACCACCACCATGGTGGTGGAATACTTGATGCGGCCCAGCCTCCCCCAGACTCTACTTCCAGCGGCCCCCAGATAAGTTGAGTTTGAGACTCCTGCTCTAAGGTTTAGCATTCTATCTGAACTGGGCCAATGCAGAATTAAGTAATATTTAAAATGTGATACTCATAGCTACTTGGTTCACATGATCACTGCAGTTTAGATTAACCATGGGGCATGCTAGGTGTGATTAGATGAATTACCCATCTAGGCACAGCTCGTGTCATCTGCACCCAGGCAGCATAGCTTACTAGACAGGTGTACATCCCTCAGATTAGCTATGGGCTGGTTGAAGGTTTTGTTTCCAAAGGTTGTGCTGTCCAGGCTCAGATGACAGGACAAAACAAGCCACAGTGACTCACACTCATTATGCAACCAAGACAAAGACTAAATCAGCTGTTTTTCTTATTTTAAATTGTCTGTTTTTGTAAACTTAATGAAGGCACAGGAATTTTTCAAAAATTCAATGGCTTTTGATTATCTTACAGCAGCTTTTTTGCTTTGAGCAACAGAGTTCTTTGCCAGTTCTCTCTCTACACACATTTGCTTGTTGTTGTTTGTAAACTGTCAAGATTTCCCAATCGTTAAACATAGTGAATTAATTGATCTGATTTGGGGGTGGGGTACTTAAGCAAGACTTTCCAGTCATCAGAACCATCCCTGAATTGACTTACAATACCAATGGGAAACTCTGCAAGCACAAAATAGGCCAGGAACAAGAAGAACAGGTTTTGGTGCAAATAGAGGGAAAAGAGGGAGGGGGAAAAGACCCAGACACACAGAAAGAAAAATCCCTATATCGATGCTTAATTTCCATTATGCTTCAGACTGCCTTTATTCTCACAAACCCACATATGACTTCCACTGCTTCAGGAGTATAAACAGCTGTCCTACAGGAGTGAATTCTTTGGAAAATTACTACCCCTCTCCTTATACTGCCTCCAAGACACTGCTAATGCAATGCTGATGAGGTTCCCCTTCTAGCAATAAGCAAGTATTGTAAGAATGAGCAAAGCCTGGGGTTTTCCACTGAGCCGAAGATAGATAAAGAGGCCTTTAGTTAGCTTCCCTGGACAAGTAGGCATTGCTGTTGAATTAGCTCCAGGTTGAACCCATTTGCTAAGCTGACATTTTGTTCACTCTTAAGAGTATAAATCTTCCAGAGATCCTAGGCTTGCAGGATCAGAACATTATTGACTGGGTGTTAATTTATTCCTTCAGCTCAATATGGCTGGCAGCACATCTTCAGTAGGGCTGAATTCAAGCCCACATATTCAAAACAGAATTTGATTTAGCAAAAGAATGCAAATTAGGTATCTAATGGTGTTCAGGAGGCCTTGAAGGGAGATCAGTTTGAATCCTGAAATTCAAATTGAGAGGTTTTCACTGCCCTTGACCTTAGGTAACCTTCAGCACTAAATTTATCGGTACTTTTTTCTGTTTAAATAGGCACAGGATTGTGCCTTTAGTAGAACTATCCAATATGGTTAAAGTTTTTTAAAAGTTAATTATATTTATTTTCTCATTGTAGGGCAGTATCGGATTAAGAGGCCAAAAAACAGAAATGAAAAATGGGCCACGTCAAGTGATATGAATTAGCATATTATAATTATAGCATTGGTTTGTTTTAGTCTTATGTGATTAGATACTCTGCAAAAATACTTTCAGGGAAGCAAACAGCACTTTCAGTTCAATGAATCACAGCCATCGCTTCACCCCATAGTCTACTCTAGAAGTCACTTCTGCTCATCACAGCATGTCAGATCAGAATGCTGCTAACATAAGAATCCAACAAACTGTATCCCCCTCCCACACACATGCACACAATAAGGAAAGATAGCCTCCTCTTTTAATCCTTAGTTCATTTGCATTATGGCATTAGGAAACATTTTTAAAAGCTTCAGACCTCTAGACCCCCCATATTTGTAGTATGAGCTTAGTTTGGAAAAAGGCATGCAAAGCAACATGCACTTCCAGTGCCCAGCCCCTGAAAGACAACACTTAGCATTCCCCCCCAGAGCCAAAGGGAAAAGACGGAGCTTGATCCATTCATGCCAAATGGATGTGCATCAATAAACACATCCACCAAAATGAGAAAGCTCAGTCTTCCCTGTGGTCATGCTGCTCCCTCTAGAACTCAGTGCAGCTAGCGGAATCACCCCTTTCCACTCCCCAGTCCAAGCTGGAGATGAAGGTCAGTGTTCTGCTCCTCACCCTTCCCAGAGGGCAACAGGACACTCACCATGGCAAGATGATTGTGCAGCCCTTCTCATGGGGTTGTGGTGAAGATTAACATGGGATGGCACCAGTATATTTAATCCACTCTGAGCTCCTTGCAGGAAAGTCAGAATAGAAATGTGACAAAATGTTTTGTCCTTTCCCAATCATCGCGAATGATTGTGGATCTCTGTTTACCGTTTCAAAAGGGATCAACACAGAAGCCTTTGGCATGGAACATTTCCAGAATTTAGATTGCATTCAGTCACTTCAAGGCCTAACCCTCTGAGAAGACTAGCTAAGAATTTGTTTTTCCCTCTAGTGCTCTGACCCATTTATTTTTTAACTGTATTTAAAGTTAACTACCTACACATGCTTTCCCTTGAGTAGTCTACATATTTCATGAACAGTCAAATACTGGTGAGACTTTATGTACAAGAACCTTCAAAGACTTCTAGCTTTGCCTGGTTTTTAAAGAGAGTTCAATAATAACAAAATAAAACAGCTGATGTGTATAATGCAAAGTGATTCAACTCAAAAGACACATGACAAACCAGTTCAGACTTGTATAAATCAGATGTGTTCTAAAGGCACAACATTTTAAAAAGCATGAACGGGTTTTCTGAAGTATTTCCTCTGTCCTCACCATACACGGATATATTGTTTTAAACAATTAGTCCACCAATATAATTAATCCCATCTCCTACTTAAAGACTGCCAACCTAATAATATGCACTGGAAAGGTAACACCTGGAAAGGTAAGCTGAACATGGTCACAAGCTAGTGAGTATGACTGCCACAGCTGCCTCTTACACAACTGCAACATGAAGCAAATACTGTTGCAAAGCTCTGCCTCTTTCTCTTTAATCTTTTGGATTATCAGACACAAAAACAACCAGAATCATTCAGACAGATGGTTAAAGACCTAAACTTCTTGGAAAACACAGGTGAAAACTATTATGAATCAGTTTTTCTTATCATTTTGAAGAATAAGTGCTCTACAGCTGTATGGTGTAGAAGATATACAGCAAAATTGTAAAGACACCCCTTGTCTAAAATTGACCTCCCATTGCTGAAAGCCTCCAACTAAGGCCCCAAGCAACACAGCAAGCCAAATTTATATTCACTGCAAGGATTCCTTCCCCCCAGCGCTCTGAAAGTAGGGGCCTCCACAGGTCAGATGGAGAAAGTTGAAGAACGCGATTAGACCCACTGGCCAGATATTCCTTATGGATTAGCCATGGTTTTAGAAACTCACTGCTAGTTTTATTTCTTATGTGCAACGGAGAGTTCACCATGTTTATTAGCATGTGGTTTTTTCCTCTCCTCATACAAACATAAGTGTTGCCTGTTATTCCTAAAACAACTATGAGATGATGTATTATCATGTTCAGTTCACCTTAGGCAATGTTCCACCAGTCAAACTAGATGAGGCAATGGAGTTCAATGCTTCTTTGGTAGAGAGCAGCTGGGTATGTGTGCACTAAAC